GAGAGAGAGAGAGAGAGAGAGAGAGAGAGAGAGAGAGAGAGAGAGAGAGGAAGAGAAAAGCAAGGCACGCGGTGAGCGTACGCCAAGGTAGGCACACAGAACAGACTTCGCATTTTACTCCCGACATCTCTCCAAAGCCCGTCTATATGCTTCACATGTGTGGCAGGGCGGGCTGCATGTAGGAGGTACGAAAGGACTCTTCTCGGCGTCTTCTTTCTTTGTGCCTCCCGTGCCTACACAAACTAGATGAAGTTGTGCAGCTACTCAACTTTTTGTAGGAGACACGGATACAAGAATGCAGACAAGAACTTCAAGGGAGACCAGGCGTCGGATACAGACTCTTGTACGGTGTGATCACTTGCCGACGGCGAAAGCCGTACAAGCAGCCTCGCCCCTCGTGGGGGCGCGTTTTTTATTCCATTCCGCCGACGTGTGTGTACCGTAGAGGTTGCGAGTCAGCGCACAGGGGTGGGAAGATTTTCAAAGCGTAATTTCTCCACGACCAGGAGGTTACCACTGACAGTCATCGAAAAGGGCGGTTTTGGAAGTATCTCATCGAGAGTTTTCCTGAGAAGCATCAGTTGGCGCTCGCACCCTCCTGGTTGTTGAGAAATTACGCTTGGAAAGTCGATCGCGCCCCTGTGCTCTAGCTGACTCGCAACCTTACGGGTACAAACACCTACTCTGTACAGCAGCGGTATGGTGGGGGGTGGAGGCGATTTATTAGAAAAGGGTAGTCTAGACAATTGATTCCGATTTGTGGCACACCACGAAGCAAACCCAGATATATGTTAAGCAGAACAGTAGTAGTACAGCCACGTACATGTGGTTGCGTCTATGTACATTCCAGTACTGTTTGCGTACAACAACTTTGTACATGTACGGCTGCTGCTGCTGCGGCCGCTGCTGCCGTTCAACAGACATAAAAGTTCTGTTCGATCGAGCAGCAATGTGCGCTAAATGCTGGATCAGGACCAGTGCAATATTCCCACACACCTCCGCTACCGGCTGTTCGACGCGTTGCCTAACGGGCAAGGGCGTTGGAGTCTTTCCGTTCGGGGCCGGAGTCAATGTCTTCGTGGTGGACGCGACCGGAACGCTTGTCTGCCAGCACCCAAGCAACGAGAGAGGGAGAGAGATGCGACAGGAGAGATGCGACAGGGGGGCGAATAAGTGCGGATTTTGTGGAGGTTTGGTCGAAGTCTACAACAGGTACTACTTGTAGGATCACTACATACAGGAGTATGTAGGTGATCGATTTTGGAAGCGAATCTGAAAAAAAAGATGAAAAAATACTGCACACTCGTCGTCGTCGTCGTCGTCGTGTGTATAATCATCACACACGAACGGCTGAAAAAAACATTGGGAGATCGGTGTCATTGGTCCGAAGCAACGCCTGCCTGGAGTCGCACGGGGAGGCCGGCCACGCCGGCACGTTGTTCGGTGAAGCATGCAGAGGGTTTGAGACGAATCAAGAGCTGGGCAAAGCTCCATACGAACCAAAAAATTAGTTGTCTCCGTCAGTCTGTCTCCGCGGCAGGGGGGAGAAAGACAGGAAAGAGTTGGAGTTCTCGATTTCGGAAGGGCGGACGAGCAATTCGTTATACTCGCAGTTGTGTCCCTCCCGCCGCGTGCAACACTCCGGCGCGCACGCCGCCACCCACCCCCCTGGATGCATATCTCTCCTGCTACTACCTGCGCGTCACGCTGAACGGGGCGCGCTACACTAAAGGGTGACAACGACACACACGAGATGCAACAATAAAACGCATCGCATTTCTTGGAGTTCTCTCGTATCCCCAGCACCAAGCACAGCAAAGAGATCGCCCACCTCGATGATCTGATTGGGATCGTCGGCAGCAGCGGCGCCACCAACAACAATCGGTTCTGGCGAGCTCGCCGGTAGAGGACGAGGAGGAGACGACGGCGCGTCTACCAGCGACATAAACCTGCTGCCATCACCAGGAGAGGTGACGTCGTTGAGAGAAGAGAGACGGCAGCAGGCAGAGAGCAACATGCAGCAAAAAACAGAGCGAGGCGGGATTTGGGGGAAAAGTCAAAGTTGAAGGGTCACCTACACTGCTGGAGACAGGGGCGACCGCTACCGCTTTTTTTTCATCGTTTGTTGCAAATCGTCAACCACGACATTAGCCTGGGAGGACTGCAGCAGCAGCTATGCAGCAGTAGCAGCAGCAGCAGCAAGCGTCAACAGCAAACTCCAATGATCCCTGCGAGCAGGTCGCTCGGCCGCCTGCAGCAGCCTTTGTGGGCACAGCCAGTGGGCGCGCACACATGTATACCACACGCCTTTGGTGCTGCCCCCCACATTGCAAAATTATGTGCACAGATAAGACACAGGCCCGCACTAAATGTCACTCCAACAAAATATCAATTGCAAAATATCTTGCTCGCCCGCCATCCAGAAGAGAACGCTACTGCTACTACTCTTCTAGGAGCCATCACACAAGGAACCCCGCTACATCCTGTCGAGGGGATGAGATGCGACAGCCAAGCCCTTGCGCGTTCGCTGAGAACCATTGTTGGGTCGTTGTGCAACGTGTGGGCGAGTGAGGGAACTCGCAGGTTGTCCAACCCGAATCTATCTTCGGGTCAACCCGCTGTAAAACCTGCGGCCGACCTCTTGCACGGTTCAAGCACCAGCGAGCTTGATAGAGAGGCCGTCGCGCTTAGCCAGGCCGCTGCCAGCGGGCGCTAGCTTGCCGCCCATCCCATGGCGGTTGTTCACCTTCGTCTCGTGGGTCAGCGCCTTCCCCTGACGGCTTCCTCACGCGACCTATAGAAAGTATACGCTGCTGCTGCTGTAGTACCAGCCGAACGGAACACACGTGTTTTCTCAGGATGGCCCACTCTTCTTTTTCAGCTGTCGATCTCTCTCCCTACAACGGCCCTTTCGTCCCGCAGCGCGTCTCTCTCACTCTCTCTCTCTCTCCCCTTCCGCGTGTGTGTGTGTGCTTCCACCAGCAGCGAACGCGGCCTCTCGATCCACTCTGTATCGTCCCTCGCGGCAGTGCTGTCTCAGGGGAGGCTGGTGGCTTGAGTGTGTGCTCGAAATCGGAGACCAAAAAAAAACAGAACACTAAAAAAATACCAGCAAAGAGCGCTTCGTACGTCGCCCCCCCCCCCCCCCCCCCCCCCCCCCCCCCCCCCCCCCCCCCCCCCCCCCCC